TAAATCGATTTATTCATCACCAACTTGGTTTCCGTCACACCAAGCACGGGCGCCGTCGACATTACTCCAAACTAGATCTAGCGTGTTTCCAGCTCGGTGAGTGGGCCCCCCAATAATATGCCAGATCAAATGGTGTTTGTCTGCCCATTTCTTGATCATTTCTCCTTGTCTATGAAGACGTTCCACGCCAGGTTGCCAAGCCCAATATACCGAGTTAAAGTCCCCAGCAGCGACGGAGTTTGGCGGTGGAATCCAGTTGATGAGAGGCTGGATAGCTGTCGAGTCATTGGGTGCCTTGTAGACGTTGAGAAAAGTAATTCCGTTCACTTCTACCCAGCAATAGTCTCCTGTAGACACAACATAAGGAAAGATCTGTGTTGCCGATATCTTTTTATCGTCTATCCGGGTATAGGTCACAGCCCTCGGCCTAACATTTTCGCCGCCGTTAGGCAGATGATAGGTATATCCTGGGTGATCCTTTGTTGTGTTCTTTTGTTTATTCCACAGAGGTTCTTGAACAAGAACCACGTCGATACCCAGCTCAAATGCTCGGGCAAGCGCAATATTTCGCGTTGAGCCCCCTCTACCTACGTTTATTGACATAAAGCTTAGAGTAGGAGAGAGGCTTGAAGAGACCCGTGGGGTGCCCTTCACAAAGATTTTTGCTGACTTGATGCCTCATCGACCTCGGCTACAGTTGCTGTAGCGTCGGACATGAGAACTTCAAAACAGTTGCTCGATTTAAATCCTGGCTGGTTAGTATTTGACGCTTCTGTAGCTGCTGTCATCGCTGCCTCTGCGCGTCTGACAGCTGCTTTGGCCCGAGTAACTGCCGCGAATTCGCGTTGGCTAGCCTGCCTGATGGTCTGTAGGTTTTCTTTGGAGGCTGTCCCAGACTTTGTAGGGCGAGCTAGACAGTCCTGACTATCTGATCTGTGTGGACCCCCGCAGTTGCGGCACTTGGTGTGTGCCTTGCACTCCGCGATGGAATGCATAGTTGAAGTACAATTCCAGCAGGCTGGGGTACGCGAGCAGCCCCTAGTGCCATGAAACTGTAGGCATCGTTTGCACTGGTTGATGCTTTGACGAGGCTGGTGGCGGACTGCAATCCCAGAGTCGTCGAAAAGTCGGAAACCTGGCCGAGGAATCAATGCTTTTTCAAAAAGGGCTACCAATGACTGGTATGGGGCACCCGGTCGGCTTTTCCCGTGTGGGCGAACTTTTACCGGGACAGCTTTGGTGACCCAGACTATCTCGTCGGCCACCATCTTTTCTGTGATGAGAACTTTGCCCATTATTGTGTTAATTGCGACTGGGACCGTCGCTATTCTAAGGGAAGCCAAGTCCGAGGCTTTCTCCAATATCGCATACTGCTGGGCGAAGGATCCAGCTAGGCTAAGCATCAGCGTGCGTGCCTCTTGGTTTTCGGCTCTGATTGCGAAGCCAGTTGGCACACGGTAGACATGCTCCATTTTTGTTTGGGGGATTTCGAGCATTTGCGTAATTGCTTCTCTAACACCGAAAGGTGAGAGTGTTCGCCAGGGATGTTCTTTTTCGAGGCGGAGAAACAAACGTTCGTCTTGCACGGCCGGTTTTGTTGGCCCGGTTGAATTTTGGGCCATTCGAGTCGAGTTTGCCGCCTTGGGCATTGTCTGCGCGACTTTTGTAGGTGCCGGGAGCGGCTGTAGACCATTACGGGTGATCGAGGCCCAAGTGGTTTTGGCCTGGCGCACTTCGGCTTGAGCCGCTTCGCGTTGTGGCTCACTTTGCTTACCAGCAGCATATTCTGCGGTCTTGCAACTAGTAGACTGGCTTTCGGGGCGTGGGGGAAGTGATGGGAGGACTGTACCTGGTCCCGCAATCATGAATTGAGCTATTGCAGCTCTAATGTAGACTTTCATAGAGTCTATAAATTGAACACTCGACCCTTTGGATAGGGGTGAGAGAGCATTCTCGACACCGTTTATTGCAGCGGTGCAAATTTTTACATTTTCCGCAGTTTTTGCGGCCCGGCGTTCCTCAGCCTCAATTGAGGCTCTGAGTTCGGGGGGGCATTCCTCCGTCTGCCTGCTTTCATTTCCACCATGAGGGGAAGGATTCTCCTCTGTGGTTCCTAGTGTATGTTCCAGGGGGTTCGGAGTAGATGCTGCACCTTTTGCCTTGTTAGTATCTGCAATCGCAGCCCGCCTCATAGCCGGCACAGCGACTTCAATGAGAGGAAGTACGTGCTGTTCGGTAGTCGCCGTCCCTAAATTGTTGCGACTCGTCGCTGCATTTTCAGCTCCGGTCGCATCTGGCTTGGAGTGAATTGAGTTAGGTAGTCTTTTCAGATTCTTAAGAATCTTGTCAATGTCAAAGTTGCCAACATCTATCATATCGCAATCTATGGTACTTTCGTCGATTAATTGGTCGATGTTATCTCTTGAACGGCAGTCAGTGGGCCCAACTTAACGCTTGCTTTCTGTCGAGCAACGTGTTTGAGGTGCTTGCGGTTATCTACGATGTCTTTCGCCCGCGATGGCTTACTGCGAACTGGGGGCATATTGGTAGCCTACCAGTCGCTCACAAATTCTGAATAAAGGGCGAACGATATCACGATATCGAGAGAGGGAGGGAGAGGGGGAAAGAGTGAATATTCGAAATTTCAAATTTCAAAAAATTGTGGGTGTGTGTGTGTGCAAGAATGAAATGTTATCAGATGGTGTATCGTGGTCCTAACTACAATGGATCTTGTGTAGAGCTTGAGACTAATACGTGAATTCTATATCTCCCCTAAATGTAGGATATCTATGCGTCTATATAAATCAGTACTCTGTTACCCCTCAGCTCTAGTGAGACCTACTCTTGTGACTGTGCTATCTGATCGTGTGAGATCATAAGGCACTAGCATTTTGTATATGTGCCGTGCATCCAAAATCTGATCAGCCCGTGACAATGTAGCTCTTTTCAGGATCCAAACATGTCCCGAGTGCGCTAATCGCGACTACTTTCGCATTAACGTTTGGATATTTACGCACGACAGTGTACCTTGGCTAATCATGGTAGATGAGAGGTGGCTAGTCTTTTTTTTAATCATTTAATGTATATTCAGCTATAGAGCTATGACACATGACTGGTACTATGTATACATGTAGGATGACTCTTTCGGCGTTAGAGACACTCATACTCTGGATTTCATTTGCAAATACCACTGTGAGGTATGCCTGCTTACACAAACAGCCGACCCTCCTCCGTAAGTACCCACCAAAGGGGCCCTTCAAAACCTTTGGTTATCCAAGCATGCCTTCGTCATCCATGCATACCAGCGCCGCGAGAAAGGTGGTTGTGTTTTGCAGGATTTTAACCAGTAATCTACTGTCTCGAGTGGGATATGTGTCCAAGCTATCCAGGTTCTACTTGGCAGACCGGCCAAGACGATATACCACCGCACCATCCAACCATGGCGGTGTATATAGTGTCGCCTGCACTCTCACAACCGAAGACTTGGCACGTACAAAGCTGAATTTGTAAAAACACTTTGCCAAAATTCGGAATCTTACGCCCGTCGAGACTGTATCCATCTTTCGCATCATTTTGTGAACTTGTCGTGAATCCTCACACGCCAATCCCAAAGAACTGTCTCCTAGATTTGTGCGCCACGCTTTGCCTCTTCCGTCGGGTATAAATATCGGCGTGGGCGTATATTTGGTGACCGGCTGAGGCCAGAAAAAGTCGACGAGAGGTGTGATCATTGGAATAAGGATGTACTAGTCCGTACTTGAAAACTTGATGAGGCTTAGGTAGGAATCGATTTCGTTGGGAGTGAAAATTTGACGTGGTGGAATAATTTGAATTATTGCCTCGTGGGCCAAATTTTTGATATTGCGAAATTTGACTAAACTTGGCTCTGGGAGAATATTTCACTACCAGGTTCGTAGAGGACACCGCGTACGGGTGTTCAGTCTTGCCCTCCAAAATATTATCTTGAATAGTACATAAACAATATTTGATTTTTCTTCGGCTGTTATCGTCACGGAAACCTGCGCTAGTCTTGAATTGATACACATCGCATCCACAATATATCGAACAATATTCTTATGTACAATCGGTAGTGACTGCAGATCTAATTCAAAATGAAGAAGTTAAAGGCGAATTAAAGCGCACAAATTTCGTAAGGTAGTTTGGCTACATGGAGGTTGCAGGAAGGCTCCGCCGACCTGTTTGTCTCTAGCGTAGGCGAATTTGAATCAACCTAGAAGGACTGAGGCGGTCAGCGTAATATCGATCCCGCTAGATGTAGTGTGATTTGGTACATCAAAGTTAGCACTATAAATTTGCTGTGCAAGCATCCTTAGTTGACAACCAAAGATAGTGGTAGATGCGCTCTTTTACATGAGATCTCAGCCATAGAAATTGTTTCATAGATATAGACACAGTTGGGAGTTAGATAAAATTCTATTCTATTCTACTCTATTCTGCCACTACTGATATGGTTAGGCCATCTATTACCTCTGATAACGCATGCTCACAGTCTTACATGCTTGCAGTCGAAGTTAGTGACAACTTGTCATGAGTTATCATAGGTTGCCTGTGGCCATACCTAACATAGCATGATACCCGAAATTTAGAGACGATTGTTCAAGGTTCAATCTCGTAGTAGATACAAGATTATGTTACCTTCAACAGCACTCCAAAAAACCTCCTAGGTGTAACTTCAATTTTTCTAAAAAGTAGAAGACACTCGAAAACTTATTTTTTAAACGCCTTTGAATCATATACAGAAAAATTGTAATAGATCAGCCAAAAATTAGGTCTCACTTAATAGAAATATCGACTTGATTTTAATAAAATTCATCAACCCATAGATGCGTTAAATGATGTACTGGATTACCATGAATTTGTAGGGCATGATTCGAGGGCCTGGTTTTAGGGTTATCAATTATTAGGCTATCATCGGCGATACCTTTCTGACGGTGTGGTATTAACTTGAGAATCTGATATTCCTTATTTTGGTGGTAAGACTACTGCAAAAGCTCTTCACAGGTCCAATCTTCATAACTAGGAATAGTGAGCTCACTTACAGTAATTAGAGTTACAAACGTACCAGCCATCAGGCATGTATCTACGGACTATCAAAGGTACTTTTTTCTCTCTAAGCTCTTTAATTGCGATTTGAAGTGGATCGGTTTCACCCTCAAGATCGACTAGCACAGGCGCATTCATGCTTGGAGAAACTTTGTCAGAGTTAAGTCCTAAGTTTCAAAAGCAGGTAAATTTACCTGATTTGTAGGGCCCTTGTGCCGAGGATTCTTGCCTTCTCATATTTCGTCATATATGGAGTAGTGATACGCTGATCGTTAGGAATCTTTTTATCTTTAGGGTTTTTATCGGCTTTTTTTGCTGCCGCGACATCTCCTGATACAACAACAGAACGGTCTCCTGTGGTCAACAGCTGGTCAGGATTTTGTCCTATCGTGATGTCGTCGATTTCGTGTGTGCCTTCACCATCTGGGTCGAAGGGCTCAGTTGGCTCATCTGGATCATACTCAGGTTCCGCATCGTAGGCAGGAGAAAGGCTGATCTTTCCAGTTAGTTGAGCATGGCGAAAAAATATCCTTGTGAAGATTGTCATCTTCGCACTCACGCTCCATCATTCCCACCATCTTCATTATCAGACATTGGAGTTGTTGATTCTTGAACGTTGTAAACTAGAGGATTTACCCGTTTGAATGACTGAATCTATGGAAGAGTTCCTTTTATGATTACAGGACACAAATAGATTTGATATCTGGGGTAAATAGGTTTTCTGGTGTTAGTTTGAGCATAAACTGAATATTCTGATAGACTTAGTTAAACTGAAAAATTATCAAAGCGACGCAGACCCCAAACCCATGTTAGCTGCCAACCATGTTACCATGTTATCATGTGATAGCGTCTCAGTCCTCTTCCCACCCCTGAGGAAGCTAACTTGATTTTGGTAGGGCTGTTTTAGATGTACTACCCACATTTACTTAAACCTCCCACGCCTATTAATTTCCTACATACCAACTTTACAGAACGACAACCACATGGCAACGGGGGACGAAGGCTTAATACCTGACAGTAGTGTTCTCTACGAACGTGGAAGGGAAAAATTGTCCAAGATCCGAGATTCAGTCATGAACAAGGGTGTTTTGAATTTTATATGATGGATTGTCGGCTTGAAGTAGTTGTACCAGGTATTTTGGTCGGAAAATCAGTCAACAGAGATTTCACAACCGCAAGACACTCGAACAAAAATCAATCACCACTAACAAAGGATTCACGAATACACTCAGGTATCTTTGAGGGTCGTAATTATACGTCCGACATCTGTCAAGTTCTTTATATATTTACGGCGAAAAATCTCTTAGTTTACCCTACATCTGCGACCCACCTCCACACTCCTCACATTACCTACCTACACATGTTCTAGTGGGGAAAGTAATGATGAAAAGGGCACGTGTACAAAAGAGGAAAAAAAGAAAAATACTTTGAGGGGATCATACAAATCCCCAATGACAACACCAACCCAACGGTACGATTGATTGATTAAATTTAACGTAGTTCCTGTCACAGCTCGTGAACTTAGTCACATACTGGACGGCCCAGTCCCTACAGAACTACCCGACGCTCTAGCGCGCCCTACAGCACCTAAAGATTACAAAAGAGTCCGACCAGCTGTCCGCCACACCCAACCAATACAGCTCTTGAATCGGGGCACATTTTTTTTCACGCTCCAAGTGACGAAATCATATACCACCTACGACTTGTTACCGTCATATAATTCTTTCACTTACTCATGCCGCCCCAGTCCTCCGCAGAGGCTGGCTCTTGGCACCCCCCCACCGTAAATTCGACGCGTCTTGACGTCGAAATGGTCCTCACAGGGCCACCCAACCATCCAAATGCTACACAAATAAACGCAGATCCGATCTGCGAGGCGAGCTGCCAATACTCGCCCCCGAACCCCACGGAGTCATTAGGTGTCACAATGTCTAACTTTTTCGCAGATGAAGCGAGGGCTTTTAACTTACGCTTCGCAGAGGCTGAGCGTATCGTCAGCGGGTACATTAACCTACTAGCGGGTACAACCGACAAACAGCTCCGACGCGCTTTCGAAAAGAACGGAGAGGCCTTATAGGCCATAATTACAGATATCCTGCGCGGTAACCCCCGGCCCCAATTCAGTGGGCCATCAGAGACTGCCAGTAACAGTAAGACAACAACCCTTCCGCCACCGGCTAATAAGTCAGGAGGAAATAATAACGCGAGTACTTCACGACCAGTTCAAATTCTCGCCAGAGAAAGCAGCAGCCAGGCGAAAGGCAAAGAGCTGGCTTCGACAAAACCTACTAGGCCAATCGAAGGCGAATAAATACAAAACTCCAACACCACGGAGAGATCCTGAACTCAGGTGATGAGGAAAAAGCCAAAGCCTGTACAACCAGTGTCTTCAACATCGCTACCAGTAAATGGTTTTCGGTCAAAAGTAACTGAACCTACACAATCGCCGAGGTCAAGCACCCCCGCTTCCAGGCCGGCCTGCCCAGACGAGCGTGTGTTCCTGCGGGTCAAGCTTGACCACCCATGGAGACGCATGTCTCCTCACTACATTAAGATAAGCCTCGCAAGCAAGCTTCGCTTGGCTAACTCTGCAATCAAGCAGCTCACTGTCGTCAACTCAGGGTTCGCGATACAAGCTGAAGGAGATGTCGCAAGAAACGCGCTCCTCTCAGGTGCCGTGCTCTTGGAGAGCACAGAAATGAAACTAGAAGCCGCCTCCAACTGGGTCTCGGTGCTGGCTCCAAATGTACCAGACAGGCTCTACATTCTAGGGGGACCAACGCTAGTCACACCGGAGATGGTGCTGGAAGAAGCGGTTTTAAAGACAGGCATTAGACAGACCTCAGCTTGTGCGTTCACGACAAGCATGGCTACGCCATCAACCGACTGGGTGCTGCATTTTGCAACCGGTAAGCCAAAACTGAGTGAGCGACTTTTCGAAGAGAACGGTCGCCTACACGAGCTCCAGCGCAAGGCCAAAATTGCGCAATGCAACCGATGCTGGGTGTTGGTACAACGGGGTTCACTTGGTTTAATGCCTTAAAAGTGCTAAAAACAAGTGATATATTCTGTCTATCTCTCTTCTGTATCCCTCCTCAAGCATTAATATCTAAAGTACAAAATGAAGCTTAGCGCCCTGATTATATCACGTGATGCGCTGACCAATACTTTTGGAAGTAAATGTTTAATACAAACCCTTTATCCATACGCTATTCACCTGTGAACCGACACTGGCAAACTTTTTTTTTTTTTTTCAGTTATTCAACCTCGTTGACGCTTCACGTTGGACCCAGCCCTGAACTTTAACATCAATATTATTTGTACTCACGAGATTTTTCAAAGCACCTTTAGAAGTTGACTTTGTCATAGAGTCAGCAGGATTACTATCTCCTGTAATCCAACGAATTTCTGATAGTTCTCGCCGCTCATATGACTGCCGGATGGCCATGATATCGATCATCAACCTCTTTTCCTTCGTGGTGCCTAATTTGACCATGCATTCGTATAATGAGAATGAATCAGTACAGATGACAACTGGGATTTGGTTTATGTTCAGCTGCTTGGTAATCATATTTAAAGTAGTCGAAATCGAAATGGCCATATCAATTCCTGCTACCATCCCGTACAACTCCGAAGCTAGTACAGCACGGGTAACCCTCTTGCATTTAGTAGAGCTCCAGTGTAGAATGTTGGCCTGTAGTCTGAATTTCCCTATTCCCAGAGCTTCATTTCCCAGAACGATCACATAACCAATTTGAGAGCTTAGGTCATGGTTGTTGGCAAAAGAACCGTTGACAAAAACAAAAATCTTAGCAGACTCCAAATCCAGAGGTATGTAGTGGAGTCCACGGTCTAGATTCTTCATCTGCCATTCAAGGCGCTTGTTGAGAGCTTTGACGTCTTCTTTTCCGGGATTTTGATGTTGTGCGGCTATCGAACAATCAAAAGCAGCTTCTGGTTGGCAAATGCTAGCAATATAAGCGCCACGAGCTCTCTGTTTAAGGTAGGTCTCTTTGAAGTCGTCTGAGCTGGGGTTAATTTGATGAAGACGTTTTCCTTGTCCTTTCTGAGTAAGATTGAGGCCATTTCCATTTTTATCAATCACTAATTTACAACCATTAAACATCAGTAGATTATCATGCGTTAGCTTCTCGATAGGCTTGGCGAGCAATTCTGCTTTCTCATGTTCAAGGCCCTCTTTCTTAACGAATTTCTCATCTCCTAGGATGATGGTGTCATCGGTTTGCATGCCTACAACACCAAACGGCCCTTGCTGATTCTCAGTTACTAGAAGACATGGATCATATGTTGAATTTTTCATCTCTAGTTTGGTTTGATGATGGCTGTGGTAGGTGCCATACCAGTGGGTTCCTGATTCTGGGATTCCATATAGAGGCTTAAGGATCTTTAGAATGTCTTGCGGACGAAATTCATCGCGCATTTGCTTAGGAGGAGTTGCGTAAATGGGGCGTACAAGCTTAGTCTTTGATTGTACATAGGCTTGGGTGATATCTCGCAGAAAAAGTGAGATACCACATGGGGATAGTGAAGGAGCCAATGTCACAATTATACGCTGGCTCACCCGTTGGATTGTTGGTGATTGGGTCAAAATTTCCTTCTTGCCATGATCATTATACGCTTGAATTACTAAACGTGACTTCTCGGATGGCATTGAAGTTTCCTTACCCTTCACTTCATCAACCATCCTAGAACCAAAGATTCGTCTATCGCGAAGCTCTTCATCGTCTCGACATACAAGTTCATAGACTCCCCGCACCATTAATCCATCCATTTCTTTTCTACGCGATAAGATAAATGGTTTTCAAGGAGCTGTGATAATCCCCTTTTCTCTGAGTTCCAAAGAAAATTCTCGATCCCTGTTTTCCTTTTCCGAAATAAATGCTTCAACTTGTTCCAAATTTATATCTTCTATAGTATCTCTGTAGGGTGATTCGAAAATCCCATCATTTATAAAAGCTGAAGTTTTGGGTTCGGATCCAGGATCTTTGGGTTGTAGGTTTCTCTGACTGCGTCGAAGCTGTTGGAAAACTGGCTGTGGAGCATTGTTCTCCGGTGGATATTCTCTATAGTTTTCCTGGCCAACAATATCTTCTGGCTGAATTTGATCATCGATCGAGCAAGGATCTCTAAGGAACGGCTTGACCCTTGTACTCCTGAAATTGACATAACGCCCATTCATGTCAACTTGTATTGTTTCACCATACATCCATACCAGTTTATACGGCGTTTTATCCCAGCCGCGTCCTTCCCTGTAAACAATAACCTCCGAACCAAGGGGAAGATCATGTAGGTGCTTAGTAAGTGGACCGTTTCGCATATTTAATGCATCAGCTACTTTCCGTGCAGCGTGACACTTTCTCACTTCTACCATCGCTTTCTTAACAGCAGTAGCCCGAGCAATAATTGAAGCGGACAGAGCATCTGAATTACTAATGCGTGGGTAGGCCCCAAAAACAAGAACAGTAGGAACCAGCCCGTTTGGACCTGCAGTGTCATTGATTGCCTTGAGCGCCATCTGCAACTTCATTTCCTTTGATAGGCCCAAGCCTTCTGCGCTGATGATCTGGTAAGCT